TTACCATGATCTCCGTGGGAGTCTGTGGTAGCACTTGATTCTGGACTACATTTCCTTTGGGAATGAATGTCACACAAAAAGCTAGCAACGAAAATAAATAATTTTAATCATGGAAAATAGGTCTGTTACTCTTTATTCTCAGCTATCATGCTAAGCAAGTTTCAGTATGGGATAAAACTTACTAAGATAAAGTAAGATATTCTACTATAACTTAACCAAATTACTGTTTGGATACTTCACTTAAATGGATTGATTATTTCAGTTTGTATTCAATTTAATCAATTTGGGAAAGATTAACTAGCTGAAAGCAGTCTTGTGATATTTTTCTATATTGATCAAGCATTTAGGCATTGAGAAATGAGAGACTAGACAGATGTTTATTAAGCATTAACAAATTTAAATAACTTTTTGTAAACAAAATTTGATTCAGTATTTATAGATGAAACCTGAGATTTCAATTTCTCAGAATTAAAATGAAACTATTAGTTATTTGCTTAGCACAGTAAGCAGCAAAAGGGTGTACTAACCACTAGATAGTTTACACCAAGCAAAATTCTGGTCATGCTTTGCTGTTCTGCCTATCCACAGGGACTCTCAGGCAGGTGTCACTTCAACAAGTTGATTGTTATTTGCATAAAATGCACTCAGACCTCTGTTTTTTGGTTTTATGTTGACTATTTTTTGCACTTTTTATTAAGAATGTTCTTTTCACTTTTGATGTTTGTTTATGGTCAAATCTAACAATAATTTATCCTTATTTTCTTTTATTAATTTGTGCTTAATTATGAAAAAATCTATAAATTTGTGCTACCTTCTATAAAAATTCTTAAGATAAATTCATTAAATATAACTTTTATACTTCTGCAGACTCAGTTATATAATATTTTACAATACAAAATGGACACCTTTGGGACTGTGAGATTGAATAGGAAGAAAATGCTAAAAGATCTGCAAAAGAAAAACTGTCAGAGAAATTTCAGCACATAAGAGAGAAAAAGTCTGTAGTATGAAATGGAAAGACAAAAACGACCTCTTCTTATTGTCAACAATTGGTAGTAGAGAAATAATAGAATTTGAATGAAGAAATGAACTAAGAAAATTCTGGTAGCAATAATAATTTTATAAGTAATATTGACCAATTTGACCAATGTCTAATAAATTATTCTGTAATCAATAGGTAAAGAAAAATTATCATTATAAAACATTAATGCACCCTTTTGACCAAACAAAATGGAAGTTGTTTGTTGTTTACTCATAGAGGTTCAAAAGGTCATTTACAATTTATTAGGTCTAATAGACTAAAATATTGAAAAATATTTGACAGCAAAACACCAAGCAAGACATCCATCATCTAAGTTTTCATCATTACACTTAGTGGGTAGACATTTTATTGAAACTATACCACGCACAGAAAAAAATATATAAATGTGACAGTATAAAATGTGGTGTTCAAAGAAAACAATGATTCAAGGATTTAGAAAGAGACTAGATATCACTGCCAAGACAGTAACACTGCACTGTAATTGAATACTTTAAAATATACCATATATAGAAAATGATTGTGTAAATGTGCTTACATTATCTGTTTTATATTTCCTATTACATTATCTTATAAAGATTAATATATGCAATTTTTGATCATCCTGTATTCAAATAATTGGACTGGTAGGTAGTTAAATTTTCAACTATATATGCACCTATGGTACCTGGAGATGTTTCTTATGTTATACTTCTGTATACAATACTCTATCCCAAGTAAATATTCTCTATTCCCAATAGGTCTCTGCATATACGGAATACTGAGGTAGAATGCCCATTTACTGTTTTCCTGGGCTAGTACATGCTTACTGACAGAGCTTAATTACAAAAAGTATATTTGATTTACTTTCCTAGGAAAAATCTCATTTGGTCTACAAGTGTATATTATTATCTTATGTCTAGTGCACATTGTGCTAAATAATTCCCTCATCAAAACTTTTGGGGACTGAATACAAACAAAAATAAGCAAATCTATGAAGACTACTAAACTTGAAGGGGGTATTCTCTAAATGAGAAAACATTTTTTACATAACCACTTGCATTAACAGCTACTATATTTAGATTAATATTAAAATTCAATGATTTTGTAAAAATGCAAGCAGTCATAAATCATAGTGTCTGAACACAGGACAGAGTACATAGAAATAAAAAGTTTATGCTAAAATTAAAAATCAGAAATAAGCAAGGTTTAGGTACTTCAAAATTAAGATCAGTAAAAAGAAGATCAAAGGATTGTCAGAATTTAAAGGCATTTGAAGACAGAATATATGAGTGATGAAAAGCAGATAAATGATTAGTATACATAGAAAATATATTTTAGAATATGAAAATACAAGAAAAGACAGTAAATGACATGAAAAGATGTAACATAGAATAGGTAAACAGTTACCGAGATAAAGTGGTTTGTGTCAGAAAAATAGTAAAAGCTTATCTACTACAGCAGAAAATAAAAAATCACATGAATAAACGTATTTGCCTTAGAGTGAGCTGAATATGGACTGAAATCTCCATGAACTGTGGTGCTAAAGGAAACTTTCCTCCCTTAAATTTAGGCATCAGATATGTTGTCTCATCATTGAGAGAAAAGTAACTAAAACATATTTATTGAGTAAATAGTGTGTATTTTCCATTTTATTTATGAAAGCAGTGCATCCATTTACTAGTTTATGTGGGTTGAATCATCCTTGAATGCTAGAGGTCAATTCCTTTGGATGTGATGCATGGTTTCAAGACAAACAATTTAATTTAGTTTAATTCTGTTATTTTGAAGATGTTTACAGTGAAGTTCATAAGAGTTATTGATTTTATTTGGTTGTCACAGATATTATCTAGCTTTTGTATGATTGTCATAATCCATTTTCTATTTCTGTAACAGAATACTTGAGCTTCATAAGTAAAAGAAATGGAAATTTATTAACTATGCTTCTAGAGGGTGACATTTTGAAAGACTTGGTAGAAGCATCTCCTTAGGATTAAGTAAGCCCCTTCCTGCAGGGTCATGACACAGCAAAGAGTGCCATGAACTAAGAAAGAGCGAATTATTGCACCTTTAACCTTGCTTTCTCTTCTTACAAAGCCATCAGTTGAAAACTCAAATATGTAAACCCCATCAAGATTACCTTGTCTAAACCTAATTATCTCCCAATGACTCTTCCTCCAAACAGCATCCACAAATGAACTATGAATTAAGTTTTCAGCAAGGAAATTTAACACATTCAAACATTAGTGAGAAGAATAGAGGCCACATTAGGAAAGTTTACCATTGTTCCCCTTTCTATTTCATTTGCCTGAGTTTAGTAACTGTTAGTATTATTTCTTCTTTATATACTTGATAGAACTAATTTTGGTAGTTATCCTGGACTTTGTTGATAGATATTGATTAATATTTCAATATTATTATTTGTTATTGACTTGTGCAGGCTCTTTGTTTCTTCTTGATTCAATTTGCTATATCACATATTCCTAATATATACACTGTTGAAGCTTAAATGTTTTGATAGTTCCTTTTGATCCTTTTTATTTCTTAGGTGCTTATTGTACTGTTTGGTCTTTCATTTCTTATTTTATTTGTTTGAACTTTCTCAACTCATTTTCCCTTGTTAAGTATTTGTTGCTTTTACTTTATTCAAAAGAAAGACTTTTACAAATATTTTCATTTGTTTTTCGACCATTTCTTTTAGTTTTGCTCCATTATTTTGTATGTATACCTGTTGGACAGATTTGGTCCTAGTTTGTAATTTTTCTAAATCCTTTATGTATAGTTTTCAGTTGTTTATTTGATCTTCATTGTTTAAAAATGGCAATGTTCCATGATAGGAATTTCCCCCTCATTACTGATTTTGTTACACCTCATAAATTTTAGTAATTTATATGTTAACTATTATTTATCTTCAGATATTTTTAAAATTCTTCATAAATGGATTAGTAATGCAAGTGTTTCATAATTCACTAGCTGTTGGCTAAGATCCATAAAACCATCTTCCCTATAATTATTGTAGTTAATAATTTAAGTTTACAATTTCTGCCAAAAAATAACAAATAGTAAATGCTCATTCATACTGGACAACAAAGTAGGCACATATATTTGTCTATTCATGTTCTGCAGAGAGAGAACAAAATGTGTATATTAAAGAACTAAACCAAAAATATAAACATCAACCTAGAAATCCAGGCATGGTGTTGTACACATGTTATCCCAGCACTATCCCATAAGGCAGGAGGATCACAGTGATTGGGAGGCCAGCCTGTAATACACAGCAAGATCTGTCTCAAACAAACAAACAAACAAACTTTGATAATTCAATGGTCAAAATTTAGTCATAAAGAAACAAGATTTGAACTAGACATATCGTAACACCTAAATTTTACATTATGGAATTTTTTTTTTATGTAGATATTTCCAAAAGTTAAGAAAAAAACAGAAAAACTCTACAAGAATATCATATGTGAAGAGAGTGAGTAGTACTACCAGGACATTGGTATTAGATAGGAGTTGGAATGTTTTAGAAACTGATGGAGAATATTGTGACTATACATGAATGGCAAAGAGCAACCACAAGAGAGAAGGCTGCAAAGAAAAGCTAGAACTAGGTCAATGGGTCACAAAATATTTTGGACTATATTCAAAAACTAATGGAAAGCTATTACAGGATTTTAAGGAGACTAACATGATGTAAATTACATTAAAAAAGAGACTTTATGGCAAAGAATTTATTAAGAAATCTCTGAAGAAAAGCCGTCAAGAGTATATGGCCAAAGTCCAAGTATTGATTGTGGTTTTGACTAGTGGTATCACAGGCATGAAGCAGAATGAATCAAAGTGCACTGCAGAAAGAGACAAGATTTGTTATTGAATTCATTGGGGGAATCAGAGGATAGAGTGAAACAAGACCGTTATTCCTGATTTTGTGTTGTGGGTAGATTTTATTGCTACCCACTAAAGAGAGACTCTAAAGAAACAATTGGAGTTAAATATCAAGAATTTTATTTTGGAGATTGTCTACATTCAACCTTCCATACAACCAAACGTCATAGAAGGTAGCATTAAAAAACTGAAATATGTTCTATTTCTGGAGAAGTGCAGTATCAAGATCTCAGCCTGGTAGGATTCATTCTGATGCTGCTTGCCTTGGCTTATTAGGACTGTTCCATGAGTGGTCTTAGATAAAGTCAGTTCTTCTCCTTTGGGTTTTGTAGTCCTCAAGAATAACTCCAGAAGATAGCAGGAGGCCAAACTCTTGAGATATGAACTACAAAAGCCTGAGTTCTCTTCCAGTCTTCTAAAAAATGGACATCCTTGAACCCTAACATTTCATGTGACACTTGGGGTTTCAAATACACAGTGGCCTGCCTTCCAAGGTCTCTCATCTCTAGTGTGTTTAGCCGTGAGACAGTGAAGACTCTGTTCACAAGTTACATGCGCTCATGTTCAGCTTTGAGAATCTTAGACTTGTTTTTTTCATTGAAGTCTATCTGTTAAAAAAAAACTGCATTAATTTTCACTTTGCATGTATGTTCTTTCACATTGAACTTAAAAAGCTGGTAATTAGTTGTACAATAAGATAGTCACCATCCCACTGTGTGTTCACATGAGCACTATAGGCAGAAAGAGAAGGAGGAGGGAAAGTCTAAGAATCGTCATGGAGTTTGAATGGTAAGTTATATAATTATCCCATATCAGAAATTTCAAAGTGGGCAAAGACATAACATTCTGAGACTTGGTATTTCTCAGAATATTTTCCCCTTCACTTAATGAGACTTACAGGATAATAAGTGCAAGTTTGAAGTTTGGATCATTTGACAGTTTAAAGATTTCACTTTAAGGTTTCTGTCTCTTGTCTTTGATCATATTTACATCATTCATTAATCTAAAATTAACTCTTTTACAGGTTAACTGCATTTTTCCAGGAATATTTTGAAAATTTTTATTTTTCCTTATATGATTCTAAGCTCTAATATAATGTTCTCAGTTGTAAGAGCATTTCTTATTTGTCCTGTTTGCTATTTTATCCAACTTTTCAATTTAAAGATAATCATCTTTGTTTAATTTAAATCATTTTCAAATATTTACTCAAATGTTTTTTCTTTTCATGTAATGTTTTTAAAACTTAATATAAAATAAGTTTTAGCTCTTCAAATTTCCACTGTAAAATGAATGTCTGTCTTTTTCTGATGTATTTTTGCAATTCTTATTGGCTACTCATTCATTTTTAGTTGTACTCTGTCTCTTTTAAGATTTATTCAATATATTATATTTTAGAGTCAATATTTCATTTTATAATTCTTAATTCCTTCAGGTAGTAATATATTTTGCTTTTATTTTTAGTGGTTTTCAGTATATTTTAAATTCTCAAAATTTCTTGCCAGATATAGGTATAGATATCTTCCTTAGAATAATATTTCAGGGTTAGTTTGAAAATTCCTGAGGGAACAGTCTTCATCCATGTTCACAATTAATCAGGGTGAAACATTCAAATCCCAAGCATAGATTTTGCCATTTTAAAATGCTGGTAGGAGGAAGAATGGCTAAAAAAAACCCAAAAGACAGTTGGACCCTAGAAAACGTGTTTGCCTATATATTGGATAATGAAATGCTCAGGATTTTCTCCTTTAGGTATATTTCCTGGGGGGACGAGGAGAAGAGGTGGAGAGAAATTTACGGTCATGGATGTAACCCATTTTATATTTGTAATCTTACCTTTAACTCAATTAAAGAGCAATTTACTGACCTTCTCAGGCAAAGTACACCTGGATTGTATAATAAGTTGATTCTCCAGTTCGCATACTGGGCTGTAATTACTTGTTTTGTGACTAATTTTGGAAAAATTACTTTACTCAGGAAACAAAATAAAAAAGGTTTTATTGCCTGTATAAAATCCTTCCTTCTGATGATTCTAGAAGTATTAAACAAATATTCTTAGGCTAATTCAGACTTATCAAAGGCACTAATCATGAACATCAAATATGGAGCTATTTAGAATTTCAGAATTTAGTGTAATGTCCTCAGTTTATAGATTAAGAAAAAGAAAAACAAATTAGTTATGTGATTTACCTAAGGTCACATCCATTTAATGTAAACAGTGAAGAAATCTCCTAATTTTCTTGGTTCAGTATATTACTTAAGAGAGATTAAGTGTACCAGACCAATATGAATTTTTACGCACTTTTAATCAGTACAGAGCTGAAGTTATGCAAATAGGGAATGACATTTAAAAAAAAATTCTCATATCTGAATCATTTTTAAGACCTGATTTCAAGTTTCATTGCCTCTTCAAAAGTACTCAAGATACTCTGAGCTGGAATTCTTCACCAATTTTATTTTAATGTTTTTATAAAATACAATTTCTTCATTGTCCTAATCTCAATGTCCATTTCTTTGGGTCAGTTCTGAAAACTCCTTGAGCATAAAAGTGAACAACTCTTTTGATTATTCTGAAAGACTACTTGCATATTCAGTAGTGACAGGGCCCCGAAATATTTGTTCTGTTGATGTACCTATTTCTGGTGTAGTTCAAAGTTTGATCAATGATGCTTTTCAAATTTCAAAACATTTTCTTGAAAATATAAATTAAGTGATGAACTATGTTCTTTTAAAATTCACCTGAACTTTTGGTAATTCCAAGTGTCACTTTACTTGGATATATTTACAAGTAATTAATTTAAAAATAGGCTGTTAGAACAGTCCCTGGTACCATCTGACTAGTATGTTTACAAAGAGGAGATGCCACTGAAACAATGAAAACTTTGATGAAAAATCAATTAGGTTACATAAGAATTGATGGTATATAAGCAAGTTAAAATTAAAATTGGCTGAAAATGAATGACATGCTGAAGAACATAGTTCTTAGGTTAAAATTTTGTGATGACTAATAAATTTGAGGCACAGAGGAAAATATTTGGCAAACTTTATTTGAGAAAAGTAGGTTATGTAAGCTATTTACACCTAAAATGTATTCTTAGAAATTATTTTTAATTTCCTTTGATTTTTAACCATACTTGTTCTGTGCATTTGGTAAGAAAAAAATATTCCATACTACTATTTTTGTTTATATGACTAACAATAGATAAAAACAGCTTTCATATTACAGTCTGACATGAAACTTGCATATTGAAACGAAGCAAAGTACATTGCTAGGTTGTTAAAAATATTTATTTTTAATTACTTTTAATTATATTGTTTTCACTCAACAATGCAATACAGATCATGCAAAAGAAAAAAAAACAGCAATAGCACAGAAGAGAATTAACTCTGAAATACTGAATTAGTATAAATTAGTGAAACATCACAAAATTAAAAATGAATAACAAAAGGGCTAGAAATGTTTCTGAGAAAAGATCCTGGGTTCAGTTCTCAGTTTCAAATTTTAAAAAACTGCACTTATTCAATCTCTCAAAGAAGTGAGAAAGACAAACATATGTATCAATGGTATCCTAGCCACTGGTAGTATCCTATTCCAGAATCAAGCAAAAAGGTAGCTGTATTGCATCTATGGCAACTTAACAAAAGTATTTAAAAATAGAAACTAAATAGACAATGCGTAATGAAACTGTAAATAGTGGTATTTTTTTTCTACTAAAGAGGGCTTGGTTTCTTTAACACAGGCAAGTCTAAAAAACCTTTCCTCCCATGTGTTGACAATTTTAAATAATGTCAATTGTAAAACATTCCTCTCTGGAGGGGCAAAACATTGTTCTATGTGCTAAAAATGTAGGTACTGTTGAGTTTTAATTATTTATATAAATATAATTATCTATAATAGCACATTTGCATTACTTCTGCTTTAATAGACATTAATTTCTACATGGAATTTTTTTGGAGAAATTGTCACTATAAAGTCATCCACCATGACATTATTCAGCTACACAGTAATTTTTAAGGAGAAAATTTTTAAGAAATAAGACTGTCAATTTCAGATTCAGTTCGTATTTCCAGTTCTGTGAGCTATGCATTCTTGAGAGTTGAAATAACTTGTGAAACTGTAGTGCTTGGCAAATCAAAATAATAAAATTTAACTGTGTTAACTGTGTCACTGTGTGACCACTTGGAAATTTCGTGCTTTTCACAAAAACAAGGAAACAAAATGAAAACTATAAGATGAATTATATAAATTTAGATAGAAGAATTTTTCATGCGTAAGAACTTACCTGAAATTGAAATTTCAAAATAAAGTTTCTAAAATAAAAGTCGTTAAGATCATTTACTCTTTAAACTAGTGGATGGATCAATAAAATCATGAATATTTAAAGAATTAAATATTGGTATAGGGGAAATAATATCATAGATATAGATGATATAGATATAATTATAGATAAAGATATAGATATAGATAGAGTATTGTTAGTTCATATTTGAGCACCACATTTATTTTAAATTAGTTGGATAAACTGGCCAACCAATACATGTCAGCAGAATTTCCTTTGGTTTGTTGCTTTTCATCTGTTTGAATTTTCTAATATATTTTGAAACACTTAGATTTACAGAAAGATAATCATAATCATAGAAACAGCATAATTCCAACTGTTGAAATTCTGAAAGATTAAAGTCTCTAAAATCAAAATATTTATTGTCTAAAATGCTAGAAGATAATATCTTAAGTGTGAAATTCCCAGTCAAAATCATAAAAATGGAAAACCCTAGAAAATAAATACAATAAAAATATTTGTAAGAAATGTAGAAAGATCTGTTCTGGAGAAGTTGTGGTTGGAATGGCATGGCGAAAATGAAGACTTCAGGTGAGAAATATATCATTTGTCTGCATTGGCATTTCTTCCCTCTGATACATTGCAGAATGTCTTAATGAATTCAAGCTGCCTCTGTTTGAAGGGGCTTGAAAAGTTACTGACATTCACAAGTGATGATCTGCACACTAGGGTAGGAGGACATTAATGCACCGATGTGTGTGTTTATTTTGATGACTTCAGCAGTTTTGACAAACATTGCTCAGGTACTAGGTCTGCCACCACTCACCTGGAATTTGTCTGATGTCTGTCTCTTAGACTGGAGTTGAGGTGTTGGAGCTGGAAGACACAAGAGTTAAACTGTCATTTTTGTAATACTACCAAAGGCGTATTCTATCAGAATTACCTACAACCTCTGAGGCTGATCTTTACTTTCTTGTTGACATGGTATTTACAAGACTTCCCTAAATTAAAATTCTTGTTTGTTTCACTCTTTTCCATACTGGATTCTATCAAAGAAAATGAATATCTGTAGCCTGCAGTAAAAATTTGATGAATTATGTTTCCTCTTCCTCATAGTAAAATATAGATAAGAGTTTTCTGGAGTTGTTTGAATGGGGAATTTCTTTTGTATTCTTCCTTCCTCCATCTATCTAATTACTTTTAATGACTCTTTTATATCACAATAGAAATATTTATTTTATACTATGAGTTTTCCAATATCACTTGATTTTGTTAAACAAACTGTTCCAGCTTTGATCTTTGGAAGCTCTATCAAGTGGCATGAATGTACTTTTGTATATTACCATTACGTGCATTTTGTTTTGTTTTGTTTTAAAGTTCATTATTGTCTGGCATTATAAGGTATTTCAGGAACCTTCTATGCACTTCTTGGCTCTGTCTTCCAGTCAGCCATTTTTTGAAAGAGCTGTTCATTTAGTTAAAGAATAACGTGAGCTCATATTTACTCCATAACATCATAGCCAGCCCCCTTTCAGAAACAGGGTCAGTGAACTGTTTGGTTCATATACATAGGCATTTCTATATTTAGCCATCTATAAATTGAGGTAAACAGAAGTTTAAATCAAAATGTGCAACTGTATCCTCTGATTATCTAAAATATCCTACTCTCTCCGTGAGAAAATTTGTTCTCACCATCTTCCATTCATTTATTTTACAAGTCAATTTCAGTAAACACAGATGGTGTTATCAGAATTACTAACCCATAACCTCACTGAAAACAGTTTTGTCAACTACAGAGTAACTCTCATATAAAATGTCATGGATCTTTAACTTCATTGAGTCCATTCATTCACATGTACTCAGATTAACATTTTTTCTGCTCTTTTCACAAAGATGTTTCCTAATATAATTAAGTTTAATTTTTGTCTTATTCTGCACTGTGACTCTCAATACATTTAAAAGTTATTTAATGTTTCCTCTTTTGCTATAAAGTTGCATGACTTTTGAAAAATGTGCAGCACAATTTATCCATAATTACTAAACAGTTAAAGTATTCTAAAAAATGTTTCTTAAATTTATTGTTCAAATGGCTCTTTTTTGCTTACTCACTCTGAGCCAAACAGAAAAGTACGGAGGAGGATCTCAATCTTCATCCAGAAATGAGGATTTGGCATACAGTATGTTTAGGAAGAAGCCACTGAGCTACATATTGTGAAGTAGTTGATTGTGCAACAAATCAAATAATACTGTTAAAATAGGTCGTGATCAAAGGCCTTAGGAAAAAAACCCAATTGTAGGAAATTCCATCTTATGAATTCAGAAGTTATTAAAGTTTTAAAAAGTTGTCTCATAAGTAGACAAAATCCTCAGCATATACTTAAACTAAATTTCTCCAACATAAGAAACCACTGAGTCATTGTTCTCTTGTAACTACTGACAAGAATCTGGGATTGTATTTCTTTCTAAAAAGATAACAATGAGTCATTCTCCAGTGAATTTGTAACATTTTTAATTCAGTACAGATAAATATCACATTTTTGTGATGTTTTCATTTACAACTATGTCAATTAGCATTGCTCAGAAGTGTACTAAATAGTTTCCAAGAGGCTTGAAAGAATTAATGTCTCCCCAATTGCCTAATTTGCTACTCAGGATTGACAGAGACATAGAAGCAAATGGATACCAATAGCACTTACTAGCTCTGAAATAAAGTGAAAAAGAATCTAAGCATTTTCTGTCATCTCTTCAGGGCATTATTTCTGTCTCCTGTTCACCTGCTCTAATTATCCTGGCAGCTCAGTTAAATTACATTATTTCTGCTCCTAACAAGATGAGCCAGATTTTCCCTGGTACCAAAGACACAGTATCATCAACAAAACAGTCTTGATGATACCCTAGTGACTTCAAAGTGTTAATCCATCTCACTGGATGCTTATCTGGGTTCCAAGGAATGGCATGCTCGGGGAGAATTTGGCTCAATATGAGATGGCTTTAGTACACAAGCAACGGTACTGTTCAATTTGTTTTTCCTATATTTACATTAGGTAAATGTTGCCAAAGAGACTGATATTTTGAAGCAAACTGTAGTCCATGCCTGCTGCTCATGTTGAGCTGTTTTCAGGTCAATTAATGCCTCCCAAATTCGTAAAGCAGGTGCTAATCTTGTATTTAAACTGCTGAGACATTGGCATATTTTCCCCATTAAAAAAAGTTAAAAGTATTTTCTACTAGAATGAAAAAAAGAGTGAATAACAAACATTAGTTTATCTCACTAGCTTTAAAGTTATTGTTATGTTTGTAACATGAAATATATTTAAAATTGAACGTTAATTTTGAAGCAGATTTCTTCTCAAATGCAAAATGTATTAGTAGCACATCTTGATTTATTTTTCTAAATAAATTTATAATTGGTTAATAGTTAAAACTCAACTCAACTCTCTAATAGAAAAATGTCATGTTGTTTGAATGTTAAAAGAAGCCTATTATATGAACAGTTTTAATATCAAAACCAACTTTAAGAAGAAAAATATTATGAGTAGCAAGGCAAGTTCCATATTTATACAATCACCAAGGAAATTTCTATGTAAATTGAACCAAGATTTTAGATCTGTTAAAAAGGTAGATATAATAGAGAGTCTAGACTTATGAGATTTGAAGTTTAGAAAAGATTAAAAAAAAAAAAACTAATAGCCTATGAGAGCACTAGGCAGCTATAATAGCTGCACGAGAGTATTAAGAGTGATTACTTCTATTCAGTTATAAAACACTGGATGATCTTTTTAAAAGAGTTAATACCTTAGCTGGATTATGAAATATAAAATTTGAGTTTTTAAAAGTATTAGAGGGAAAAATTATCTGAAGAAAAAAGTCTAAGAAAGAAAAAAATTGTCATTTTCTGGAAGATAATAAAAGATTTAGACTTCTAGCAGTATAAACCAAGTAAAGCAGGTCAGTGATGTGGGAGCTGAGATTAGCAGTCTAAGGACCAAACAATGACATGACTCACATAGCAAGTTAACCAGTAAAAATGTCCCTGTGAGTCAGCCATTCCCATAATTCAGAAAGCAAAGATAGCCTTGGTGTTTGTAGAGTTCGTTAAAATGCAAATTCTAGAATTAAACTCCAGAGATTCTGATTTAGCAATTCTGGTTAAAAATACAGTATTCTGTATTTCCACCAGGTCTTGCAGGTAATTTTGAGACATAGGATTATGCACCAGGACAGTACGTGATGGGAAACCATATTAAAGCTTTCAGTAAGAGATAAACATAATTAGACTTGAACTTTAGAGATTATTTGAGGAGCAAAATAAATTGTACTAAGGAGGGCAGAGGGGAGAAAATTAAGCTTGTTAATGTTTTCACTTGGAATTTTGTGAGCCTCAGATATGTACCAAATACATGGTAGATACCAAACATCTTACACATCACCTCTTAGGGTAGGCAGCTTTCAAAAATCTGTACAACTCATTATCTCTTGGACCTCTCACTGTGCTATTTTGTCTCCCAAAAAAGCTACTTTCAGAGCTATTTTGCTGATGAATTCTAATGTTCACGACAAGCCAGAAAGTGGAGAAGAGAATAAACCGAGAGTTATGAAAGCAAGAACAGTCAGACTTCCTGGCTCATTATACGAGAAAGAAGAGTAAAAGAGTGGCTTGGAAGCTCTGTGAAGACTTCTGACACAGGTGGAAATTCCACAGTCCAAACAGGAATCCAAGAAATACATCTCTGGCTAAATGAAGTATTTGGGAATAAATTTACTTTGGGGTACTTGTGAGGATCACAATCCATGACCACTTTATTTTTATGATTAGGGAATAAACTAATCTTCTCTCGAAAGTATAGGTATGTTCTTTGCTATCAAATAATTAGACAGGGATCAAGTATTGGTAATGACACACATTGTTTATTTCTTAACTGTGACCTGTGTCATCTTCTTTTTATAATTTTAAATGATTTTAAAATAGTTCTTTGTCAAGTAAAGTAACAAATCATATTTGGTGGAAAGTAATTCTTCAGTATCCCCTTAAAGCAACAATCAGCCTGGTACTGAAGCACTATCCCAGAGAGCTGGCCTTCACTCAGGACACAGTATGATTGCAGACTCGGTCCTTGACCTCTTGTTGGCTTTGGTGAGCAGTTAGTAATTGTTCCTTTTCTTTGTCCTTTAAACTCAGCTACTGGAATAGAAAGCTTCTTCTAAGAAACCACTAATAATACAATTAATGGGGCAATAATGAAATGACTTTTAGATTGCTAGGAATAATGATTTGGAATAACTGGGACAGAGAAGGACAGAGAAGAAAGATACCCTGGACCTCAAAGAGAATATTGGTCCGATGAGAAGAGCTGAAATGGTCAGAATATCCTGCAGTGAGAAGCAGTCTCTCACATACAACCTGCACTCAGCCTTTTCTTACTGTTTATAAACATCTTTGTAAGATGTAGTTTTTTTTTTTTTTTCTTTACTGTCTATCTTAGTTACTTTTCTGGTTGATGAGACAAAGTATATCCAAAGCTAAGGAAGGAAAGGTTTCTTTAACTCACAGTTTGTGGAGATTTCATTCCATAAACTGTTGACTCCAAAGCAGAGTGGCACATGGCAGAAGGACAAAAGAGTTCATGGTGGTGGAAAACAGTAAAAGCAACAAGAGAAAGTAAGGGGTAGCAAGTCTCTTTCTGTTCCTTTTATCTTACCAGGCTGCTGGAATCAGGGTGATGCCAATCCAATCAGTGGACTGATTCAGCAGTCACCCACCCTCAATCCCAGGATCCTTAATATCTAGCATTGAACCAATGAATCAATTACAAATTCTTGATTCAGCTACCTTCAAAAAAGCCCCCTCTAAAAGCACATGTGGCTTTGGGCAGATAATCTGGATGTAAACTATAATTTTGAAACAATTA